ATAAAGTCACTGAAACATGGACAGAAATCAGTTAACGAGTTCACTGTCTACTGATACGATTTCCCCTACTTTCCTTCAAATTTGACCAAATTCCACATTTCGGCTCTTTCTTCTGCCGAAGTTTCTTCACCCTTTCCTGTAGAGTTTCCATGACGCTCAAGGACATGCGTCTCGAAAGCATTGTTGCATGGTAGTAGAGGAGCGAGGTTCTGGTTACTGTCTTGCTAGAAGATGAAGTCAGTACCGTGCAAGTGCTATACCTAAGGGTAGCCGAGTCCTTCTCGAGTCTGCATAGATACGTCCGCGTTCACCCTTCTCGAAATGCAGATGTTCTAATTCTATTACTGACTACTTTAATCGAGCTTCCGCATTGTTTCGCGGATGGCAGTTGATACTTTGCATCGGGACATTTTCTGTCAGGACGCAACACATGCCTAGTGCCGTCGCCGCCAAATACCTTAAAATTACTGTCGTCGCCCACAGATCTCGTTGGCATACCATACCCTACCGCTTCGCAGTCGGGCAACTTCACAAGATTCAAGAAGTGGTGAATGTTGACGTGCACAACTAGATTCTGGAAGGAGTTGCGTATCCGCACGTATGAGAACTGCGCGAAGCTGGGTTCGTTTTCACACAAAAAGCGTTGCACTTCTACTGTGCAAGAGTGCTTTCGACAGCATGACGTGTTCTCAACGGTGTGACCAATTCGGACGCATGTACTGAGCTTATCGAGACACTATGGGAAAGGATGAAGAAACCCTTAACAGATAAAGAGCAGGATTATGGACGGGAAGCTCTCCAAGTTTGAAGAAAATTGAGGAGTTTCTCACAATAGACGGCGCATTCATGGAGTGATTCCAAACTTAGGTCATGTTAATGTTTTAGCGACTCTAGATGGTCATCGACAAAGTATTGAGTCTGCTTGATGTTATTTATTGTGCGGTATATTGTTCTGATGAATTACAATCCTTCTACATTAACTTAAATTTCATTTGAAATTTGATCACACTCGGAAATATACTATAGTGGGGTACTTTTTCGTTTTTCATTTCCCCCACTCCCCCCCCCCCAGTAAGCATAAATGAACTGGTTGTGCGAGACAGGCTTCTTTTTAGAAAATTCTGAAATTTCAACTGGTATGATCCGGCAGAAAAAGCTACGGCCGGGAAAGTATTTCGGCGCGAAGAGGCGGTGCGGAGAGAAAGGAGTCAGAAGGAGACAGACAGAACAGAAGGAGCTCACCGTCTCGCACGGCCTCGGTCCTGGCCGCTTCCGACTCTACTCGGCAGATCTAGTTCAGTCATCGCTTCGTCATTAATAAACTTATTCGCTGTGGATTCGCTGCTATTCTGTTATTATAACGATACACTGCGTCCCATAATTATACGTCCACCTAAGAATTTCCCAAAATCTCACAAATATAGATGTTTCGAAAAAAGTCTCAATGTGACAATGTGTCATATATAAATACGCAATTGCCTATGAACATCAATTTCCTATTTGAGATCACAGGAATTTTTTCCAATAATTTTTGTGTAAAAGGCCACTCAGCCGACGTCCCAAAATTATACGTCCACCTCACGTTTATCGATTACTTTTCACTTCTGTTCCACGAAACTTTTTCATTGTGGTAACACTTCACTTCTTAAGGGGACAGCATAATAAAAACTGCTGTTGGATTTTGAAAAAGGTTAGGTTGTCGCAAAAACTGTTGAACAACGCAATCGCGCCAGATTTGGACCAAATTCACGCCAAGCTCAAGAATTTCTTCAGGGGTTTCACATGATATGGAGTTTAGAAGAGCTCTAAAAGTCTCTCATTACTTTTCGATGGAAACAAAGGCCGTGTTACAAAAGAAACATCCACTTTCATCCAACGGTGCTCTGTCATCGAATCTTCTTGAGAACTTTATGCCTCAACAACTTTTGTTTCATGCGTGTGAAGGAATCCCAAGATCATTCTTGATTAGGAAAATGTGAAAGGCATTCATTTGTGGCAAGGAATCGTGGCGAAAACTGTTACTAATCAAGAATGATCTTGGGATTCCTTCACACGCATGAAACAAAAGTTGGTTGAGGCATAAAGTTCTCAAGAAGATTCGATGACAGAGCACCGTTGGATGAAAGTGGATGTTTCTTTGTAACACGGCCTTTGTTTCCATCGAAAAGTAATGAGAGACTTTTAGAGCTCTTCTAAACTCCATATCATGTGAAACCCCTGAAGAAATTCTTGAGCTTGGCGTGAATTTGGTCCAAATCTGGCGCGAATGCGTTGTTCCACAGTTTTTGCGACAACCTAACCTTCTTCAAAATCCAACAGCCGTTTTTATTATGCAGTCCCCTTAAGAAGTGAAGTGTTACTACAATGAAAAAGTTTCGTGGAACAAAAGTGAAAAGTAATCGATAAACGTGAGGTGGACGTATAATTTTGGGACGTCGGCAGAGTGGCCTTTTAGACAAAAATTATTGGAAAAAATCCTAGATCTTAAATAGGAAAATTGATGTTCATAAGCAATTCCGCATTTATATATGACACTTGTCACATTGAAGACATTTTTCGAAACATCTATATTGGTGAGATTTTGGGAAATTTTTAGGTGGACGTATAATTATGGGACGCAGTGTATATCCAGAGTTACCTAACTATACTCTTGAGTGCCACCGCATATACCTTTAACATGCGAAAAAAAAGCCAGAAAGATTGAATTGAAAACAGCAACGACGACTATCCAATGTCGTGCCGATTGAATGTAAATCTAGAGGCATTAGATTGTGCGACAGTGAGAAAGAAACTGAAGAAGTGGTCAGAGCCCAGAAGTGGTAGCCGTATTTTGCCCGCTGACGTTCGGGGATTGACACGGTTGTGGCTAACATGTGTAGTGGCCACTAGGTTCGAAGTACACCAGCATGAAGTCATTTCCAGACTGAATGAAAGAAATCGTGTCCTTTGTGTGCATTCCCTCATGTAAAACTTGACATACGGCTGAACAACTCTACAGTAAAGCGAGAGCTGATTGAAAAACAATACCTCAACATTCACTTGCACTCCGAAAGCTTGCTATCGATTATCTGGGGTTGGAAAACGAATTTTATTCGCGCTAAAATGAGATAACTCTTACTCTGCGATGTCGTCTTCTTCCTTGGTTGTACTTCTTCCGCTGAAATTCTACCCACTGTATTTGCTATTTGCTAATCACTCTTATAAAATCTCATACCTGAGTGCTCCTTGCTTTTCCGTCCAACTTCACCTAAAACGCGGTACAATCATATGAACGTTGAAGAGGTTTCAGAAAGAACTTTGGTCATTTTAGGTCCATGATAAATCCCCTGACCTCTTTCAGCATCTCTAGAGTCACGTTCGGCACTTCCTATAATTACAGGTGAAAATACTGGCTAATATTAGTCCTTATCAAGAAATTCGCTGAACTCTACTCACCCTCTAGTACGCTATCCTTGCTCTTTGATTTTGAACCTTTGCCTGGAACTATAACTTAAATTTTTATCCCATTTTTTCTGCTTCGTTGAAGCTTAGTTATTCTGCGAATGGTAGTTCGAATGCCTGTGCTATAATAGTAATCCTTCATCGGTCATGTCAAAGAGTGGATGTGTTGAGATTCGACTTACACCTAAAGGACCATTGTGGAAGGCTGATGATACGAGGTGTCTTCCTATGTTTTTCTATTCGAAATTGCGATGCTCTGTACTTCTCCTATCATTGATTCGTCGGGCACTTTCTGTCTCACACTCTCACTTTTTGACAGATATCTTTCGCAAGACATTAACGTGCTTAGCATTGGATGTAGCAGAAGTGTTGGGAAGTTTTTTGATACCATGAAATCGTCCAGAAAATAATGCGTGTATCGACATGCTATTTTTCTTGAATACCAGTTTAACTACGCACAAAACCGTGCGCGGTATACGGCTGCTGAGTACTAGTGGCAGGGTCAACGTTTGCGGTGCGTTGGACGGTTTTTAGCGAGTTGAGTGGTATTTGGGTTTTTTGGGCAGCGGTCATATTGGGGTTAGGGAAATCAAAAGTCCGGAAAGGAGGAGGTTAAATTTGTGCAAGTCAGAAAGGTCATGGTGGGGGAAAAGGAGGCTGCTTTTAGCAGTTTTTTTTTTCGAAAATCAAAGAAATTTGTCCAATGGTGGTGGTGAGGAAAGCTGAGGGGCGCGCAATTTCTGAAAAATGCGAACGCAACGGTTGATCCTGGACAAGGCCCAGCCATCCAACACTTGACCCGGTCTCTCCAGGGACTAGGGAATTTCGTGTCAGCCACCGTGACACAACGACAAAATGACATACAGAACGACAAACGAACTTTTCATAGGACGTAGGATGATAGTATGCTGTATGCTATACTGCATACAATGAGATAAGGTAAGTCTTCTGTTGTGTGTTTGGCAGGACGGTCCCATCTGAAGAAGCACATACAGAGTCCGGATCAACTATGGGATGGATGGGCATGGGTCAAGATTTGCGAAGTACACATCAGTTGGCTAAAGCTCTGCTTACGGTGGGCGGGTAACACGCCGCATTGAGAGTTGCCGACGGTAGAAGTATCGAGTTTTGTTAGAAATCGCCCGAAGACCGGAGAAATGGACAACGATATGCACGGAGTTGCTAAGTCGAATTTGGGAGACCCGCTCGCAACGGGCGGCGTGTTCTCAAAAGGGCGACGCTTATCAAAAAAATTCATACCGGCTAATTGAAATGAGATGTATATGTCTATACGCGCCTTGGGACGCTGAGCTCAAATATGTGTTCCTTATCTGCTGAACTCTTCTCTGAAAGGAATTATGAAGCAGAAAAGCGCAGGGGCTGTGGTCGAGGCTCACGAAAAGAGGTCAGGGGATCGACTCCCTGGCGAGTTTGTTCTTTTGCCGTTTGCAGTAAGATAGCTAGGAAGACTCCTAACATCGCTAGTCCAACATGCTTGCGTATAGTTAACAGTACAAAGAATTTAAGGGCAATTAATAACGAACTTGGGCGGCATCGCTCCTCACCACTTTGGGCGCTTGTAGCGCAGGCGCCAGGCATTTTTGCTTCGAACAAGTATGATATTCGTAATCAGGGAGTCAGACTCTCCCTTTGAGCGAACTTCTAGCGAATTCTGAAATTTTGACCTAACCTCGAAAATTTGGGCAGTCACTCACTTATCCACCAATCCATTACAAAAGGCTGGCACTTGGGTAGAATAAACCTTTAAACACTTTTCATAATAGACAAAAATTGTGTCTGGCTTGCCCGTCTGCATCATCCAAAGATCTGCAAAGATTACCAACACCTTCTCTCCCCTTTCCCCGTCGTCCATGATTGGTCAACCCAAAAAAGTGGAGTTTGAGGAGTGGTAATCCCATCACTGCTCCGCTTTTTCTCAATTAGTTCATAACCTCAGGTTTGGCGAGAAACTCGTTTTTAAGGGTAATCTGATCCCCTGAATACGAATGCACCTGCATTACGGGCACCGTGGGCCTTCACAGACAAGTAGTGTTTAAACTTAAGAGAGTCTGCTTGCAAACTCTTCGAATGCACAGTATGTAACAGATTCAACGTATCTCTGCTGAGTCTTCATCCACTTTTCACCCGGTCACCGGTGTTCTCTGAACCAATTTATGAGTATTGGTAATGAGCACTGCCTGCTTAAGGTCACGCTCCGCTCCATGTGGGCAGGCTTTTGCTCGGGTTAGGTTTGCTGGGGACGCGTTAGATATTGCTCTCTCAGACTGATTTTTTTACTGCTTTCAGGTCTTCTACTGACCGAGTTATTTTTTTGTAAAGCACCGCGGAGGCAGAGAACGCTCCGCCCACAGCGGGCTGTAATTTGACCTGTCGACACGGCACACTTCTTTACTCCTTTTTCACCGGTCTCCAAGCTGTCTTACAACAAAGTTCGGACTTTTCGACCTTGACACCGTTTGATTCGGCGCGTGCCCCGCCCATTGTGGGCAGAGCTCCGCCCGTGATATGTGTTTCGCACTTAATGACCCATGCCTTATCCATCTTAAGCTTGACCCGGACTCTGTATGTAGGTTCTTCAGGAACCTAGTAGGTGGGCAGACAAACAGACGCAGGCACAACATAGTATTGGGTTGTCCAGAAAATCATGCAACACTTTGAATTGGACAGTCGCTAGCTATACAAAGACGAATAGCGCCCAATTTTGATCTACGATAAGACTGACTATACCAAGTGGGTATTGCGAAATATTATAAAAAGGCTCCCTCTTGAACGGAAAAGCAACTATGGATCCTACAAGCCCGAGTATCCTTCGACCCATCGTCTATTATGAGTTCCTACAAGGGCGTTCTGCAAGAGAAGCAGCTAATAACATCTGCGCTGCATTCAAGAAAGATGTGGTACACCATTCCACTGTTAGTCGCTGGTATCACCGCTTCGAGTCCGGCGATATTTCTCTCGAAGGACATGAACGTCCTGGACGCCCATCAACTCTTCAAGATGATGATTTACGCAGCGCTTTGATCTCAAAGCCGAACATAACCACTCGTGAATTAGCAACTACACTCGGGTGCAGCAAATCAACCGTCAGCAATCGCCTTGCCTCTCTTGGCTTCCGCAAAATTCTATCGACATGGGTACCTCACGAACTTCCCAGCACAGAAGAGCCTTTGTCTGGTGCAATACCGGTTTGGCGTCTCACTCATTTTTCTTCGGTTACCAGCTAATGATACTTCCCATTGTGATTTACGCACGTACTTCCACAGTAACAAGGTTGTCGAAGTAGGCCACCCAGAAGAAGCCGTAGGAACTTTGTCGACAGGGAATTGCAGTTGATTCGTGGATAACTCATGAGTGACTAAACGTCCCATTTTAAGGCTTTGCCCAAACTGCGCAGCGATTGTGCGACCTGGCTTAAGTGGCACCCAAGCTGCTTAACCAGGCAGCGCTTAGATTGGCAAAAATGGGCTTGCAACAATACGGCGAAGGTATCATGGTTCACTTCGTCTGTCGTCTAGAGAGGTGTCCTCGTCCAGAGAAATGTCGCCAGATTTTAAAGAAGAGAACTAGCGACGATGGCGCAGTGGACAGTGCCAGAGCTCTTGATGGTGCTCATTCGCACTGAATCGCTGTTTTTTTTTGCCGGTGTAGAAGTCGAAAGATTCATTATTCCATGGTCCTTAAGGAACCCTCAGGTTTCCAGAAAGCTTCAAAATAATTGAAAATTTTTCTACAACTCAAAACCTCGGAATTAGTTTTGGCAGACCATGAGTGCACACTTCGTGTACGCTTTCAACAAACATATAAACAGCTTTCACAGGATTAGTTCGGGGGCCAATTGAGCGAAAAACAAGTGGTGTATGAGTCAGTCGGCTATTGGATCAGCTAAAAACAGTCCTTTGACAGGCACTTTGCCTCTGGGGGTTTACTGTTGCATTCTCCTACAGGGGTTCCAGCTTGGAGAAGATCGAGAAGACTAGCTTGGGCCCTTTTATAAATATTGTTCATTGTACATGAAGTGGTGCAATGGCGTGTGTAATTGCTATTAACCGCTACGGAAAGCGCTAATTTGATCATACTGGAATGATACCTATAATGATATCGATGATACCTACTTGGTTCAATTACTTCTGCGCTCCCTTTTGAAATCGGCTCGCCTTCCCCGCGCTCTGTAATGGTAACGTGTTTGTTTATTTGCCTCTATCAATTGAAAGACTTTCTCACCTGCATTCTCCTTACTCTTCGACCTCGAATCCTTACCTAATATAAAAGATTTATCAAATAAATAAGCGATTTATATTTATTTAATTTAAATTAAATAAATAATTTAATATTAAATATATATTATATTAAATAAATAATTAAATTTATTAAATAAGCGGTCTAACCCGCTCAAACGGTGGAACTATCGGTGAGTTTATTTTTCGTGCTACTCGGGTCTCCTCGAGGGGTTCCTGACACGATGTCGGAACCGCTAGAGTTGACGAGGCGCTTGGTGGTGTAGAGCGTAATCTAAAACTTGAAACATGTTCAGGCCTCTGAAGACGACGATTCCGTCGAAACGTTAGGCCACTGAATAAAAGTTCCACCTGACAACCTCGTAAGGCACAGAAGTACTAACACACTTATAAAAGATTTAATTATATCGTAGGATAAGAAAGTTTTAATTGCATGAGAAATGGGTTCACAGAAAAGTCATCCTCGAAGGTAAATTGATTAGGTAATCAAGCCCATATCGGAAGTGGAAGCCGTGGCGGGATTGATGGGTAACGATCAGCTGTTGAGCGACGCCTCATACCACTTCCGCCCCGCCTCTTACCATCTCCGTCACCACTCTAACCACCATGGCAATCCCGAAGCAACCTCGTCTTCTAACTTTGCACAACGGTCGGCTGCTGTGCCTGCGGGTCCTCACGATCCTCGACGGCTAGCGGCTTGAGATCCGTTCACATCCCAGCAACCATTCTCATGAAACAAGAATGAAAAAGGCAACTATTGAAATTGCGAGTGCAAAATTCATCTGTCCCAATTGAGTTGGGTTTTATTCCACTTTTAAACGGACGCTCTTTGTGTGGCGTGGATTTTGGTTCGGCCAAGTGAATGAATCATGTGTGCTGGAGCGTATCTTTGCGTTCGGCAATACAATGTTCATGATCAGCAACCCGTATAATCTGCCGACCATCGATATCCTATAGCAGGCGTACTTTTTTGTACTTTCATTTTAGAAGGCGAACTATGGAAGAATGAATGGACCCTGATGATCTATTTTCGTTCGTGCACCAAATCTCTGAGGAATACTGAGCAAGGAAACAACATGATTATGACAACCACATGATCAAAATTATGGATGCGAAGTTGGAAGCAATTGTCTGATTCACTGCTTTGTGTCTTAGAGACCCGAGGTGCGCTACTTACTAATGTAAAGCTCTGTTTTCATTTTGACAATTATTAAATTAAACATGTTCACGAAATCGCGCGTTTCGAATTTTGGTCAGGTAGGAACGGCACGATTTCGCGAATTTTGCTGTGAGAAACATCGATCGCAGCCTTCATAATTTGTCTCAGTTTGTAGTACAGGGTGGGCAAAAATTACGGTAACAAGAGCGCTAACCAAAACATCTCGATTTCCTTCGAACCTAATAAATGCATCTGGCTGAAGAGACCCCGGAGAGAAATCACTGGACACACCAGCAAGATAGACCGCCTGTACACAAAGCAAATATTGTGCAACATTGGTTTTGCAGAACCGAATTCATGACATTGAAACGAGTGGCAACCTTATTCTTCCCATTTTAAAGCAAGTGGGTTATTTTCCGTGGAGTCTACTGAAGACGATGGGCTGCTACAAGTATCACTAAAGCATCGATGAATTAAAGAAGATCCTAGGGAAAGCTCGATGTCACCTACCTACACAACAGGCCGATGCGTTCCCGAGATGACTTCACTCAGGTATAAACGCAAACAGCGGCCAGTCCAAGAAGTGATGTTGTATTCTGTTTGGTAACTTCCTATGAATACATTGTTGGTGTCCACGTGTGTCTTCCTGGCCGCATTGCTTTTCCATGAACACTTTATCTTGTTACCGTAATTTTGCACACCCTGTAGAAAGGAAAAACCACCCCTGTGATGAATCCCTAGCTTCATAGCGATAGAACTAGCTTTACTGAGACTACTTTTGGTAACTTTTTTCACTTATCTTCTTTAAATCTATTTCGCTTATCTTCTCCCGTATCATAGGAGTCAGCCACTAACTACCAAAGCCACAGGGATAACAGACTTAGTCCGACGTGAACCTGGATGTGAGTTCTAGACCTGCATTCGAAGAGGGCGCTGCTCAGCACCACACCACTCTGTCCGGAAATTACACTCCATTTTCAAAATAAGAAAATAATTAGTCGTTCTTACTCTCTGCATTTTCCATCGAAAGCCGTTCTCGACTGTGCACTGAAAACAACTGGATCGTTGTGCGATGGACCTCCAATAAGTGAAACATTCATAACATTTTGACTTTTTCATGACCCTAGGACTCATCGTTAATCAAAAGGATCCTCCCATGAGAAGTTCAAAGGTCGTTTTAGGAGTGGAGAATATCTTCAAAGAAACTCACTCATGGCTTATTTATTGGTAGCTTTTCCCGTGGATGGCACTGCAAAAGGAGGATTGTAGTAAGTGACAGGTTCCTCTTGTCATGAGTAACCTAGCCATAACAATTCATGATTCTCTCCTGCATCTGTTTAACTTATTATTGCTACTGCATGGTGTCCCTAAGTAATGTCACTTGCATACTTCCTAAGCGCTTATGACGGCGAAACTTCCCTACGATTATACGTAGCACCCAATAACGTCAATGCAGTTCATCCATCGTCGATTCAAGTTCTTTTACCCATTTAGAAAGTAACTTCGTTTGTGTGGAAAGGCCGACTTCAGGTGTGGTTTCACTGAATCGAATTCCTCAAAGCCGTTGCTCCAGATCACGAAGCAGAATGTAGTCGTGAAATGTAGTCACTGGATACGAGCTCTCAAATAGTTGGTGGTTGACTATATGATAACCACTTTTCCAAATAGCGCCATTGAAAATCAAAATCTGTGAAATGAAGAGGGGGTTTGTTCTTGCGATTTTCTGCCTAACAGAATATGGCGCAAGATAGTATTTAACTCCGCGTACGACCAGTCCGTTGCATGGGCCTTTTCTGATAGCCGCTCATCTGCATGGTCCGCCAAAACTTTCTCGTCATGGGCCTTGACCGGTTTTGAGAAAACATCCTGCTCTACTGAAGCTTTGCTGTTGGGAGTCACGACTGTGGTGCTACAGCCGCTCCCGATCACCATCCACCCTCGCCGGAAGCCTTCCATTCGTTCTTGAAAAGCAGAAATCCTCGCGAAGTGCGGTCCGGCTCTCGTTTTCTAGTGGTGAACACCTTTCAAAGGCCCACTGTTCCATCGCCTTGTTTGGTCTAATCATCAGCAATTCAATCTCACGCGTTATATCAAACACAACTTTTGTGGTGTTCTATGGACTCTGAACGTTTCTGTTTCGTAAAACCATTTCCTGTACAGCTATAAGTTTTTCCCACATGATTGCAATCACGGGCCGGCTCATTTCCTGTAAATTTCTCCCCTACCAAAGTTAACGCCTGTAAGCATACGATAATCACGGATTTTCTTTGTTCGATTCCTTCGTAAAACTGAAAATGAATGTGGAAATCCAGTCATGGTTTACGTCTGAAGCGGCTTATGTCATGATTCCTTATGTAAAACGCTTGCTCCACCCCTATCGCTGGACAAACCTCTATGCAATTTTGCATGCTACCATGAAAGACTTAGATATGCACTGTTATACCAGCAAGTTATATTAGGTTGGCTAATCTGACATGTCTCTTTTGATCAACAATTATTTCCAGTGTAAAAGCCATAATGAAGCAAATCAACTTGAGTTTTTTCGTCTGTGTCAGTGGCTCTTCTTCTTTAGTTACGCAAAGAAAGGATGCCTACCTCGTAAAACTCTTTCAAAGAAGTGGGATACTCAAATATTGAAGTCATCGCGGTTGTTCATTTGCTCCTAACCACAAAGTGTGCTGCATTGACCTGGGTCAATGATAGTCGGACGGCGCCAGGCTGGGCTATGGCGCGGAAGGCAGACCATCTAGAGGAAGCCAATTGTAGTCAGGAGGAGGTGGGAGCAGTACTAGAAAGCGCTCCTGAACAAGGAGTTCGCAAGCAGAGGCGACGGCTGGCCCTATCTCACTATGGACAGAGGATGAGGTTCGTCAAGAACTAGGGAAGATGAAGGTTGGAAAGGCGGTGGGTCCAGATGGGGTGCCAATCGAGGCATGGAAGGCGCTCGGAGAGTACGGGATCAGATGGCTCACCCGATTCCTGAACACGGTAACTGCCGAAGGAAGGATGCCGGATGCCTGGAGAAAGCACTATCGTCCCCATCTTCAAGCAGAAGGGTGACGCGATGGACTGCTCCAACTACCGCGGGATCAAGTTGACTGCTCATACAATGAAGCTGTACGAGCGACTGGTCGACTCGAAACTGCGGGCTGGTCCCGATCTCCCAGGAACAGTTCGGGTTCATGCCCGAAAGGTCTACTACGGATGCCATCTTCATCGCGAGGCAAGTGATGGAAAAGTACCGAGAAAAGCGCCGACCCTGCTACCTAGCCTTCCTCGACCTGGAGAAGGCGTTCGACCGACTACCTCGAACAGTACTATGGAGAGCGCTCAGGGAGCGGAATGTGCCAGAACACCTGATTCTTTTAGGAATGGGACATGGACGATGGGGCGAAGGCCGCTTCGCACCACACGCCTTACGTGCAGGAAGGTGTGACATCATGGTTGGGTGCAAGGGTCAGCTCTGAGCCGTTCCTCTTCCTCCTTACACTAGATGTCATGGTGAGGGGCCATGGAAGGACCATTAAAGACAATCCTCTACGCTGACGACATCGCCCTGATAGCGGAAAGCAGAGAAGAACTACAGGGCAAGGTGCAGAAATGGCAGGAAGTGCTGGCAGAAGGTGGGCTTCGGCTGAATGTCAAGGAAGACCAAGTTCCTGAGCTCTGAAGAGGGATTAGAGCCAATCGTAGACGGCCATGGAGAGATCATCGAAAGAGTGGAGGACTTCAGATACCTCGGGAGCGATCTGGCAGCCGACGGAAGTGTGGATCAGGCAGTGAAAGGCACGAATCAACGCGGCCTGGATGAAGTGGAGGGAGTCCACTGGGAATCCTCTGCGATCGAAGGTGCTCCAGAAC